CAGTTCCTGCCCTACAGGTAGAATTGGGTGAAATGCCTCTGGATATCAGGAGAAAGCAGCTGATGATGAACTACTGGGGAAATTTGCAAGGGCACAGCGATTATCATTCCACGAAGGGAGTCTTGCTGGAGTGTTAGGAGGATGGGAAGAGCCAGAGGCACAACTTTACAAGAGTAGCGAAAAATATTGCTAAAGAATTTGGATTATTCAATCTGAAAGTAAGTCCAACGGTAGTCTATCCAGAGGTGGCCCCATGGATGCTTGTGTGGCCTAAGGTTGACTGGTGCTTGTTAGAGACAAAAAGGAAGGAAAAAGGTAGGGTTGATTTTGTGAGTGAGTTTAAATGTCATGTAATGATGGAGTATAGTGATTACACGTTTACACAGATGGTGCTAAAAAACCTCAGACAGGGGGAACAGGATTTGGAGTGGCAGTACCAGCAAAAGGAATTTGGATTAATAGAAGAACATCTGATAAATTGGGAGTGTACACAGTGGAAATGGTGGCAGTGCTGGTTGCATTGTAGTGGGTGGAGAAAGTGGGTCTGGATAAGGCATTGATGTTCAGATTCATCATCAGTGCTAGCGAGTTTGAGGTCATTCCATTCAAACAGCCATCGAGACATACTATACTCAGTCCATCAGTCAATTACTAGAATAGTTCATCAGGGAGATCAGGTAAAGTTTCTGTGGGTTCCAGCCATAGAAAGAATGGACAGCAGCTGCCTCCTCGCTGGGTGAAGCCACTCTGAGAACAGCACCCTCTGTTGATGGGCTGCAGTACGGGTCATAAATCCCACCTCCTCCAGCAAAGCTTATAGAGCTGTGGACCAACTTTATAAATTTATTACACAGAACATAACATTTTCTGCCCCCTGCTTGCAATGTTGACATGTAGACAAGACTGGTTTGTGCTCAAGTTCTCCATTTTTAAAAGTTATTAGGGGGTTCATGTTTTCTATGATTGACACCTGATACAGCCTATTGGCGTTCAGGGATTGCGTAGCTCACCCGGAGGATACGCTGTTTGAGCCGATTGTCATCACAGTGACTCTCGGGAACTCTCCGGCTGAATGCGCACAATGCTACTGCGCAGCGCTGGTTTCAGGAAAAAAAGACAAATCCCGGAAATACAGAGAGCTTTTTGGCTTCAAATCTGTATACAGGATGGAGGCGGACCCAAGTTGTCCATAGTATATACAGTCTATGGTTCCAGCGCATGTAGGGGTGAGGCGTAAGTATCCCCCTCCCTCACTCAGCTCCTCCCAGCGGTGTAAGTCGTAGGGAGGGAGGAGAGAGGGCGTGGAGTGGGTTTAACACAGCCGAGACCTGTATTGACCAATAACATCAGCTCCTCTCCTCGCCTTTAAATCCGCCACCGGCAAGGCGTATTACTATTTTCGTGAAGTAGTCAAAGAGATCAAGAGATGTCTGAAGACTGTAATGCCACACAATGGCAACAGAAGGCAGCCCCTCAACAAGCACAGATGGATTTGGTGTATGTAATGTTGGACCCACTAGTAAGACAAACATCCTTTTCCACAAATAAAGACACTCACATAAAGTTGCACATATTCAAACCTCACGTGACAATGGTGGGTTATGCGCAGAGATCACATCATAAATTCCAAAAATGGCATTAAAATTGGAACCATCTGCGCGTAAATGACGCAACGCACTCTGTGGCCTGGCTCTTTCTTTCATAGATGTTGGCATATAAAATAAATTTGGCCCACAAAACTGAATATTATAATATTCGTATACAGGCTTAAAGTAAATAACTCATCTGATCACTGAAACAAATCATCTGTTCAGCCGCCGCAGCAGCTGCTGCAGCAGGATGGGGAGAGGACACGGAGACATGTCCAGGTCGAGCTGCGCGAGAAATAAGAGGAAGAGGAAGAAAGAAAAGGAGGGAGACGAATTACATATCTTGTTAACTTCATCATGTGTGGCTATTTACTAGATATTTAATTTAATTTAATGCGGTTTCAGCTGTGTTGATTTGGTCATGTTGTGTGTCCAAAAACGTGCCAAACGCGCTCATCAGATAAGATATAGATCAGAATATATCAATATAGATCTACATGTATGTGCTGACTCAGATTATTAGTTGTTGTTGATTATTTATTGCACTGAAATGTGCCTGACACTGTGAAAACCTGCCGGTGAGGCATCGGTGACGTATGCCGATACGCCGCAGGTCTACCAAAATACCACTAGACCAGCTGCGCTCCGCCTGCGCTGAAAGCTGACCAGGTTTCAATTGGCGAGCTTTCAGCGCACTTTATACGCTACCGGCGAGCACGAAAATGTCACTGCGCTAGATGATTCTGGACCTCAGTGCGCCTCAGTTCACGAAAATATCAAACTGGCTGTACGCCGGGCTCCGCCGGAATAAAATAGCTTCGGCGGGGTCCGCCACCCTCCGCCGCCTCACCTCATTTCAGAATCATGAGACACAGCCAGAGACTGCACCGTCGAATGGCGCATATTAAGTGTGTGTGATGTCATCACGCAGCGCTAACAGTGTCCCATTTGGCTCGTAATTCTAAGCGCGCTTCAAATGCGGTCTCAAAACCACATTGCCCCTGTCCCTTTTTCAAGCGTGCATTTGCGCACACTTTCGTGGCCTTGATATCCCAGAATTCTTTGCGTGCCGCTGCACAGCTATGCATTTCAGGTGAGAGGCTGGACTCGCTTGGAGACGCAGCGTGTCTTCAAAGAAAATAAAAGAAATCCAAAAACAGCAGACAGTCAGCCCGGGCTGCATGAGCGCATGATCTCTTAACTCATTAAAACTGCAAACCAAACATTAAACTTTTTAGTGACGAATTGATCCGCTCTGCTACCACAATCAAAAACATTAGAAATAAGAAAGCTGACAAAACTACAGCAGAGGATCAGGGAAACATTGAGAAATTTTTTAAAGACTTAGAGATTAAAGTTGTGAATTTAGGAGAATAAAGTCATAAAGCTGATTTGGTAGAGGAGGAAATGTCAGGAGCTGGTCAACTGCATGATTATTGGTGGATGTATCATTCAGAGAGTTTTTCAAAAAAACAAACCAACTGATGATCAACATTCACGTCTCTGACACCGGCGGTAACCTACACTTGCAGAGACACCAACATCTTATTATGGGAAATGGATTCATATCATAAAGTAAAGCGCAATGTCATTCACAGCTGTTTACGGCTGCATTGACGGATTTATCCTCAGCATATCCATATCTGCCTCCACAAAAGCAATGATTTCCTCCAAGTCCACCTGTTACTTTTCCTTGGAAAAGACGCATTTCTCATATATTCTTTTTAAAGTCCTTATACTTGTGACAATGTGATGCTGATGTGCCAAAGGATGAAGTATCTCCTTGTTTGGAAAACTTGCACTAAAGCACAGTTCCTTCAAATGCTCCATGGCTCTTATTTTAACAATTCTCCTCTGAAATAACAGGTAATCTTACGACTTTATTCTAATAAAGTCTTTATTCTCGTTAATTCACCACTTTAATCTCAATATTTAATCTGCTGCATTTGATGAATGATTCGTAAAAGTTGGCTCTGTAAATTACCATCCAGAGCTGTCATCAGATTACGAACCACAGCTGTAAAAGTAGTGATACCAAATAACTAATACAGTCCTTTTGCCTGCATTCAAACCATAGACTGTATATACTATGGACAACCTGGTTCCGCCTCCCGCCTGTATACGGATTTGAAAGCTCTCGGTAATTCCGGGTTTTTCTCCACTTCCTTGAAACCAGAGCTGCGCAGTAGCGATGCGCACATTCGGCCGCGCAGTCGCCGAGAGTCCCTGTGATGACGCTCGGCTCAAACAGCGTATCCCCCGGGTGAGCTACGCAATCCCTGAACGCCCATAGGCTGTACCAGGTGTCAATCATAGAAAACATGAACCCCCTAATAACTTTTAAAAACGGAGCTGTACACAAAAAAGAGGACTTGGGCACAAACCAGTCTTACAATAACTATATGTCAACATCACAAGCAGGGGGGAGAAAAATGTATGTTCTGTGTAATAAATTTCCATTCTATATACAGTCTATGGTTCAAACCCAAAAACAGAGATGCATTCGTTATTTTTTATCTCTTTTTTTCTTACCTCAGAATCTAAATATGTCGAAGTCATGGGCTGTGTGAAACAAGGATGTATCTTGTCACCCTCTGGTTCCTGTTGAAGTATTTTTAGATTAGCCTATATTTCACATTCTGTTCAATCTCTTTTTCAGCCAAACATCTTTTTTATTATTTATGCTGATTTAGAAAGATTTTTCAAGTTAATAAAAGCATGTAATGACTTCACTCTATGTGTGAATTAGTATAAAGTACCATCACATGAAAATAGGCTTTTTTTTACTCAAGTGAAAAGGTATTTTGGCTCAGAGCTGATGTGATATTTTTATTTTTTAAAGTTCAAAATTCGATATCTTTATGGCCTTTTTGATGCCTTATAATGGGCTTTGTCAAATAACAATGATCAATTTTAGTTTTTTTTTTTTTTAAACCGGGAGACAAAGTGCTTTACAGATCTAGTTACTGCTCTAAAATATTGATATGATAGGAGTATATATAGACTATTTTTAGTAGCCTTCTAAAGAAAATCGACTGAATTTAATTGAAGTAAAGGCTTCAGTGGAAATTATAATGAGAGACAAAGTTTCCAGTTTTTGTTGGGTTACCTATGAGACATAGGCCTACTGAGCTATAGTTTTCAAAAAGGGGTCGTTTTGTACCGAAATAAGGAAGGTTTTTAAATTAAAATGCTTTTAAACTCTTAAACTAGTTAACGAAAAATAACCTCCACTTTACTTCAAGAGATATTTATATTCCATTGAGATTAAAGTAAATCAAAGATAATATTAAACTTTTAGATATAACCTGCCAGTGTAAGGGTTTTTCTAAAGTAAACAGCATTTTAAATCTCCATGGTAACCTGTGACGATGTAAAAACTTCAAATCATTACAAGCCAAAGAGAGCGGTCATTTCTGAAGAGCAAATCTGAAGAGAACAGCACGAAAAACTTAAGTGGCTCACGAACTTACAACTTTTGACGGCTTCATCATATAGAAAACCTCACCAGACGACTAAGGACGCCGAAAAAACACCTTCGACAAACACCTGAACAGAGAGGACAACATATACGACATGGAGACCGTAAGATTTCATGACAATATTATCATACAAACTTGTGTTACTGTCGAGACTTTCGTGATGGTTAAGCGATGCATCGACAAGAATTAAATGTGTGCATGGATATTTACAGTGTTTATGACTTTAATGTGACAGGCATTATCAAAATTAACCGAAAATAAGCGAACATAGGCGTTTTTTGTGTGTTACTGTCGAGACGTTCGGATATCTTAAAAGTGATGCATTGACATCATATGAAAGTCCTGCCCACCATGTCACAGACTCTTTGTGCTTAAGAGCAGAAAAACTCATGTTATTGTGCGAAATCTCTCTAAGAGATTTTTTAATGTCTTCTGGGCTATTTAAAGCCGTCAGTCTGAAACTTATTTGACAGTTTCTCTTTATACTTACCAATGCTATCAGGTGAAAACTATAAACACAAGCTATTTTCACTCTTATTACAGCGAAAGAGGCACATTAAAGGAGTGAAATGTGGTGTTAAAATAAGGGACACCTTCATAACTTGAAAGAATGACAGTCATCATAAAATTCAACAAAATAAACTAAAAAGACATAATAGTTAGACCTATTTATAAGTGCTCTAATAGGCCTAGGTAACCAAAAAAAATCCTATGAATTACATTTGAACCTATTTAAAAAGTTACAAAAACAGACGAAATTAAGTTAAAAGTAATGTCTTATGTACAGCCTTTAAAATGAAGAGTTCGATAATGTTCCACTGGAATATGTTTTCATGTTTTCATGGATCAAGTGTGTGTGTTTTTTTACCACAATATTTAAAATTTCAATTATGGGAAAAATTATTCGAAAAATTCGAAACACAAGTGTAATCGAAACACTGTCCTTTTGTGGAAGTCAGTTTTTTATCAAACTGAAAACAGGATTTTATTATTTAATCCTGAAAAAGTCATTTCCCAATAAAATAAAATGACTGAAATAGACATGCCAAAAATATAAATTCTTAATGGAGGGTGTTGCATTGATGTTAATCTATTTCTATTGCACAATTAACCTGCTGATTAGAGACTAAATTCAAATTAAAATGTATTGACTGTCTCCTCTTGATGATACTGATGTTACAGATGCTTCCTTCATGACCTTGACCACACAGTCAAATGTAACAGCTTGTTTAATTTAAATGTCTGCGTTGTTTCTGTCTTCAGACCAGCCGACACTTCACATGGACCTCGGTCCTTGTGCACAGCTTCCACTGGTCCTGCCCCAGGCCGATCTTGAAGAGGGTCGCGGCAACACCCATGTCCCGTTCCAAGCCTCGCTGTGTAAGTAGGAAACCACACTGACAACATAGATAGGCCATTAGCATGCCTTCAAAACAACATACAAAACTTTTATAGTCTGTATGATTTTAATTACAGAAATATGTTTATGAATTTGTCTTTTTTAATTTTAAGTTTCTTTAACATTAATTTATTTCAAAGATGTGAAACCTTCCCCTGGAAAAATCATTTCTGCAGACTTCAGATTTGATAATTTGTCGGTTTTTCTGTCTCAGGTCCGAGTGGAGCAGTACAGCCTCGTCCAGAAACAGGATAAGTCCACTCCTAGACTGTTACTGAGGAAGGTCCCACCGATGGACGGCCCTCCACGTTTCTCCTCCCCTAAGCTCAACCAGGTAACTCACTCTCACTCCTCTTCTGTCTCTCCCTCTTTCGCTCCCTCTCCTCCTGTCTCTCAAAGAAAAAAAGAAAGAAAGAAAAAAAGAAAAAAAAAGAAAGAAAGCGAGAAAAAAAGAAAAAAGAAAAAAGGAAGAGAAAAAAAGAAAGAAAGAAAAAAGAAAGAAAAAAAGAAAAAAGAAAGAGAAAAAAAGAAAAAAGAAAGAAAGAAAAAAAGAAAGAGAGAAAAAAAGAAAAAAGAAAGAAAGAAAAAAAGACAGAAAAAAGAAAAAAAGAAAGAGAGAAAAAAGAAAAAAAGAAAGAAAAAAGAAAGAAAAAAAAGAAAGAGAGAAAAAAGAAAAAAGAAAGAAAGAAAAAACGGACCTCGGTCCTTGTGCACAGCTTCCACTGGTCCTGCCCCAGGCCGATCTTGAAGAGGGTCGCGGCAACACCCATGTCCCGTTCCAAGCCTCGCTTTGTAAGTAGGAAACCACACTGACAACATAGATAGGCCATTAGCATGCCTTCAAAACAACATACAAAACTTTTATAGTCTGTATGATTTTAATTACAGAAATATGTTTATGAATTTGTCTTTTTTAATTTTAATTTTCTTTAACATTAATTTATTTCAAAGATGTGAAACCTTCCCCTGGAAAAATCATTTCTGCAGACTTCAGATTTGATAATTTGTCTGTTTTTCTGTCTCAGGTCCGAGTGGAGCAGTACAGCCTCGTCCAGAACCAGGATAAGTCCACTCCTAGGCTGTTACTGAGGAAGGTCCCACCGATGGACGGCCCTCCACATTTCTCCTCCCCCAAGCTCAACCAGGTAACTCACTCTCACTCCTCTTCTGTCTCTCCCTCTTTCTCTCCCTCTCCTCCTGTCTCTCAAAGAAAAAAAGAAAGAAAGAAAAAAAGAAAGAAAGAGAGAAAAAAGAAAGAAAGAAAAAAGAAAGAAAAAAAGAAAAAAGAAAGAAAGAAAAAAAGAAAGAAAGAGAGAAAAAAGAAAGAAAGAAAAAAGAAAGAAAAAAAGAAAAAAGAAAGAGAGAAAAAAAGAAAAAAGAGAAAGAAAAAAAAGAAAAAAGAAAGAAAAAAGAAGAAAAGAAAGAGAAAAAAAGAAAGAAAGAAAAAAGACAGAAAAAAGAAAAAAGAAAGAAAGAGAGAAAAAAGAAAGAAAGAAAAAAGAAAGAAAGAAAAAAAAGAAAAAAGAAAGAAAGAAAAAAGAAAAAAAAGAAAGAGAAAAAAGAAAAAAAAGAAAGAAAGAAGAAAGAGAAAAAAGAAAGAAAAAAAGAAAGCAAAAAAAGAAAAAAGAAAGAAAGAAAGAAAGAAAAAAAGACAGAAAAAAGAAAAATGAAAGAAAGAAAAAAAGAAAGAGAGAAAAAAGAAAAAAAAGAAGAAAGAAAAAAAAGAAAGAGAGAAAAAAAGAAAAAAGAAAGAAAAAAATAAAAAGAAAAAAGAAAGAAAGAAAAAAAAGAAAGAAAGAGAGAAAAAAGAAAGAAAGAAAAAAAAAGAAAAAGAAAGAGAGAAAAAAAGAAAAAAGAAAGAAAAAAGAAAAAAGAAAGAAAGAGAGAAAAAAGAAAGAAAGAAACAAAGAAAAAAGAAAGAAAGAAAAAAAAGAAAGAAAGAGAGAAAAAAGAAAGAAAGAAAAAACTTTGCCCTCATAATCATTGTTTTTAGCCGGGGCTATCTGGCACACTGAGCTAGAGTCTGTCTCTATCTCTTCTTTAGATCTTTATGTCACATATAAGTCACTAACCAGTTTTCTGTCTCTCTGAGTGTCTCTGAGTCTCTTAGCTGCCACTGGACTAATGCTGCAGACGGTCTGCTGCGGAACTGCCTGACCCCAGCTGCATTATCCCTGATTGTCCACCCTGGGCCCTGAGCTCCCCCATCTCTTTGGCTCCTCTGGCCCGTTGCTGCAGACACCCCCTGCCCCTTGGTTGCTCCTGCTGCAGACCTGCCAGACTCTAGCCGCATCGTCTACGATTGTCCGCCTCAGGCCCTGAGCTCCTTCTTCTCTTGGATTCCTCTGGACTGTTAGCCGCATCATCTATGATTGTCCACCTCAAGCCCTGAGCTTCTTCTCTTGGATTCCTCTGGACTGTTACTGTTACTGTTACTGCAGACATGAACATCAGCCTCACTGACATTACTGACATTAATAACATAAACTAGAGCTGACTACGATTAGGCCTGCTAACTGTAATCACACTCAATTAATTTAACATTAATTTGTCCATAATCACTCATATCCTGTAAACTGAACTCTTTTTTGCTTCACCATTACATGAGCTGTTGTTGTTGTTGCTGTTGTTTCTGCTGCCCCCTGTCTCTCTCTCACCCTTGTTCTCTACTCTTTCTCCCTCCCCCTCCTTCTCCTTACTCATTCTCTCTCGCCTTCCCTTATCTTGTTCTCTCTCTCTCCCCCTGTCCTCTCCCCTCTACCCTCTTCTCTCCACATTCCTCCCCAGCCCAGCAGCGGCATGGTGGCTGTCTAACATGAGGCTGGTCCTGCCCAAGGTTTCTGCCTGTTAAAAGGAAGTTTTTCCTTGCCACTGCTACTCATGTTAGTTGAGATGGGCCAAAACCCATATTAGGTTGGTTCTTGATCATCAAACAATGAGCGTGGTCTAGACCTGCTCTTGTTCCTTGAAAAGCGTCTTGAGATGACAACTGTTGTGAATTGACGCTATATAAATAAAATTTGATTTGATTTGATTTGATTTTTATCAGAGCTTTTTCTGAGTTACATGAATGATCCTGATCCTGTGTCTTCTGCCACTCAGCAAAAACATTAAAAGAAAGAAAAAAAAGAAAGACGTTTTAATCGTGTTTGATTTATTAACAGTATTGTGTGAAGGAAAAAAAAGTCTTTTTAGGGATGGTTTTATTCATGCTGATCTGACTGAATGTTGATAAAAGCAATGATGGATTCTTATATCCGAGCTAAAAAATATCAATCCTGCTGAGTTTTCCTGGTTTTCCCTCAGGCTGTTTTTCACTGGAATTGGTTCACAGCCTGGTCTCTGTACATTTATTTGCCTATTTTGGAGGCTTGTTGTTAGCTGGAATAGGTGTGCTGATACAAAATTGTTTAGTAAATCACTTTCTAAGTAACTGCACAATTATAATTTAGAAAAATAAGAGTAAAGTGGGAAATTTATGTAAAATCTTCATATTACTTGACTGTATTAAATGTTATTTTTATGCAGCTGACATCCTTATTCACATATCTGTATGCAAGTGGAGTTATAAATCAGTTCTATGTCATGCCAACATCACTGTAGGATAAGATTCATTCTAATCTTATATCATAAGTCTCAGTCTTATCTTAATGTACCATAAGCAGAGCACCTTTCAGCATTTAGAAAGTTAGAGTGGCACAGAAGAAACCTTCTCACTAAGAAGGCAGAAAACCTGGAGCAGACCATGACCCCTGCTAAAAAGCCATAAGATAGAGACAAAAACAAAGGAGAAATGGTTCAAAGTTCCTCAGCCTCCCTGGGTCTACCAGAAAGTTATCTTGAACACATAGAGTTAAGTCAATTGTTTTACTGATCGGAGCAGCTGGTCCAGCTCGAAGGCCACTGGGATACACAGGTGATTGTACACAGGTGCTTTAAGGTAATCTGAAATTGGCCCAGTAAGCTGCTGAGGTTGTTAAAACTACAACCTTTTTCTCCATGTGCACAGTGTATGTAGAAGTTACAACTATAATTGTCCATATATTTGTTCAGTCAACATTTCGCAAAATGGGTTTCCCAAGTGACTCTACAAACCATCCAAAAAAGTAAAAAATAAACAAACAAAAGGAAAAAAACAAATACCTGACTCACCCCTCATTACTGTAGACTCGAGTTGGACTCCTGATCCCTCAAGAGCTATAATAGACCGAGTTGATCTTATTGACTTCATTTCTGTCTCTGTTGAGTGACACCATGAAACTATTCAGTGTCATAGTCGGTATCTATTTGACAGTGGCTGTTGGTCAAACACAGCCAGCAATGGAGTCCTCATACATCGCTGCTGTGTATGAGCACAATTTAATCACCGACGCAGACCCTCGTGTCCCGGTGTCGCGGCAGGCTGCCCTTCAACACATGCAGAAAAACTTGGATATCTATGAAGTGCAGGCTGCACGAGCCGCTCAGCAGGTATGATTTATTGGAAAGTTATAAATGCTTAGTAGCGACTCATAAAAAGGGTTACTTATTGCTCTACTAAAAATCAACGAGCCACCATGTGCCAGTTTTTTTCTATTGCGTAACCAGTAAGTGTATTATTCAATAAAAGGGTTATACCTTATATGACAGCAAATGACTGTGCATTCAGAATCCTGGGATGTTTTTTCAGTCGTGTCTTCTCTGGTCTTTATCAGGGTGCCCAGATCCTGGTGTTTCCAGAGGATGGTCTACATGGGTTTAACTTCACCCGCACATCCATCGTAGGTTATCTTGAAACAATTCCTGACCCCCAGCAGGAGAGCTGGAACCCCTGCACAGAGCCAGAGAAACACAACAATACTGAGGTGCACAGATATACATCGTGTTTGATGTCTATCTTGATTTAAACATACCCACGAACAGCCAACACTGGTCTGTTATTATGAATTACATTTCAGAATGGTTGTTTTACAGGTTCTTCAGCAGTTGAGCTGTATGGCTCGTCGGAATAACATCTACATTGTGGCTAATATGCCTGACCGGCAGCCCTGCCCCCTGTCCACAGATCCCACCTCCTCCTGTCCATCTGATGGACGCTGGCAGTTCAACACCAATATTGCCTTTAGGTGAAGTTGAGATCTTAAAATAGAGACATCTGGCTAAACTCCAGCAAATGCATCAACACATGAATTCTTAATTTCATCTAGCTCTGATAGCCTACTGGTGGCACGCTACCATAAATACAACCTTTTCCATGAGGAGTCCTTTGACACTCCACCACAGCCTGAGATCATCACATTTGATACTCCTTTTGCTGGAAAATTTGGCCTGCTGATATGCTTTGACATCCTCTTCCACAAGCCCACTATAGCACTGTTGGAAAAGGTAAAACCACTCACAATTGTGTATTTAGCTCTATGTCCCTGTGTCGGATCTCTTTTTTAAAAGCAGACTCTCTTCCCGCTCCTTTTAGGGTGTTCGTCAGCTGATCTTCCCTACAGCTTGGTTTAACACCCTCCCCCTGCTTGACTCTGTCCAGTACCATCGATCATTAAGCCGAAGCACCAATGTCACCCTGCTAGCAGCCAACCTCCGCCTTGATAATAAGAACATGGCTGGGAGTGGTATCTACACACCTTTTTCATCCATCTACCATCACTCAAAGAGGGGAGACCCAGAGGAGGGCAAGCTGCTGGTGGCCAGGGTGCCGGTCTTAGACCCAGAGTGGTCGGGGCAGAGGGTGGCCACAGAGGAGGAGAAATTTGAGTCTGAGTCCACTTCATCCCCTGTTACAGACTCTGTCACAGTGAGAGCTGCTCTGATGCATCTTCAGTCCCTTCATCATCAGCCACATTCACATCATTCATGATTGCTGACCCGTTCACATTTGTCCTCCTAAATGAAAAAGAGGGTAGGGTGAAGGTGTGCAATGATTCCTTTTGCTGTCACCTACAGTACAAGCGAATTTAACAGGGTGACAGTGAGGAGCTGTATGCATTTGGTGCGTTTGCTGGGCTGCACATTTTGGATGGAGACCTATCCCTGCAGGTATGAACTAAAGAGTTTATGGATATAGACACTGTCCTTTACAACATGTCTCACCTGTATCCTTCCTTCTGCAGGTGTGTGCACTCATCCGTTGTGCAGGGTCGGACCCAAGCTCCTGTGGACAGGGAGTAGAAGAAGCTGAGACCAAAATGGACTTTGTGATGGAGGGGAAGTTTGGAACCAGATATGTGTACCCATCAGTTTTGGCGAGTCAAATGGTTATAGAGGAAGTAAAGCAATTTGACAAATCTGCAGATGGAAGAGTGAATTTAAAACACTCAGACATGACTGCTGGACTGGTGACCGCCTGTCTGTACGGACGGATGTATCACCTGGACCATGAATAAAAAGCTATTGAAAAGGTGTGCTGAAATATTGTATCTTAATAAAAAAATAATGTACACAGTCGTAAAATTGTTTTATCTAGTGTAACAAATCAGCTGTGCTGATCACACACTACAGTGAATTGGAAATGAATTGTTTGATTATTTTTTTTAAAGAACTCAAAATAAATCTTTATGATCATTTGGTTTTCCTCTGTGTTTCAGTGGTATCAATCCTAAATATCTCTTGTTTCTTTGAAGATTTTCTTTGACATTTTATTTTGTCCTTAGCTATGTTTGCAGTTTTCACCTGAATTTAGACACCCGTGTGCTAAAATTTTACATGGTGTGTGCTATATCCAGATCATAAAAACAAAAAAGGCTGCTTTATGTCATTATTTTAGAGAAAAAGGGATATTATTTTTATTCTGAATATTCCTTTAAAGCTAAGACACCAATCTTTGAACACAGAAAAACTGGGAAGAATGCTTTCTTTTACAAATTGAAGTTCATCTTTTAAATCTAACATGATTATTTTTGTTAACTATATAAAAAAAGAAGTTTTTTTCCCCCGAAAATGTTTTAGTTAATTCTGAGATATAATTCTTGTTAATTCAGGAAACAAGAGCAGTTTTATCCTCAAATAAATGCAGTACGCCTCTGTGTTGAAGAACTCTACATTTCTGTCAAACATTAATCTCAAATATACCTCAAGGTAGGTAAAAAAAAAAATATGTTAAAAATAACTTTGAATGCATTAATCAGGTAAAAAGTTGAGATTTTATGGCGTTTCCGGGTTAAAATTGTGTAATTTCCTGTGGTTTTAGTCAACATCAAAGCAGAGCAGTGGATTAAACATGGAAAAATGTTATGCAGGCCATGCTGCAAGACCAAAACATTGCACAATTGTTTAAACAGCTTGTAACACCTGTTTCTTACCACTTTATTGTATTATTTTCTCTTATTAAAAAGTAACACCTGTTACCAAACTTGTCTTATTTCACTTTTATTTGTCATCCAGCCACTAAATATATGTACGTGTCTTTGACGTGTACACAGTAATCCAATAAGAGTTGCAAATGTTGACTTTTTACGGTTAATTTTAATATTTACCTCTTAAATGCGCGCTCACTGCAGTCTGTCCCGTTGAAGAGCATGGACAGTGCAGGCTGCGCTTGGAACTATGAAGGGGTACATGAACCACGTGACCGCTCTGGCGGCGAGATCTGAAGTTGTCGCCACTCTGTTTAATCCACTGCTCTGGCCCGTAGGATGCACCGCGACCATCCTATAATGTGGGCATGTCTAGTATCTGAAGTAGTATCTAAAGTAGCATGCTACTCGCTCCAGTGGCCAATTCGGACATGCTACATACTACTTCGACTACTACTTTGGCAATTCGGACGCAGCAATTGCCTCTGAAATGAGACACAGGCAAAGGCTGGCCGGAACCTTCGCTTGCTCATCCACGTTATGCTTACGGACTCAAAACAGCGCTGCGCAGGTCATCTATCAGCAAGCGCTGATCAGTATAACAAAACCAAAACTCAGTGGAAGCTTAGTCTGTTTTTTTTTTTTGGAAGATTATGTTGCAGTAATGACAAAGCTTTTTGCGTAAGAGCTGGTAGAGTTTATATTAGGATTTAATAAGCGTCGCTTACATTTCTAAGATGGTACAGCTCACCTTGAGCCTCAGTTATGCCATCAGGTGGCGTTTATAACAGGTAACACGTCTGTTTGACCAGCACCATGTCGCGAGAGGAGGTTTTCTTTGACCCGGGACAGGTAAAAAGTGATGTCGGTGAGAGGAAGAGCAGGAGTCGGCTCGGTGTCGTTGTTACTGGGGTCATCGGAGGGTCTCTGGTCGCCCTGTACGCGGTGGCCACTCCGTTTGTCTCTCCTGCTTTAAGGAAGATCTGCCTCCCTTTCGTACCTGCGACCACAGCTCAGGTGGAAAACGTCCTCAGTGTGCTCAGAGCACGATCAGGGAGCTTGGTGGACATTGGAAGCGGAGATGGAAGAATAGTAAGTCCCAAACTGTCTGATTAGTTTGGGGATGAAGGAAATACTGGATTAATGTGAGACCACGTCTTCTTTTGTTATATGAAAAACTAGGGGAGAGTGGGGTAAGATGAGCCATTTTTCATATTTCGGATCACTAAATCAAGGCAATCATAGTTTTGTCTCTAACTAGTGTATCTGCATTTCAAGATGTTGTGCAAACCAACAGGATGACTGTCTTGATAATATAGAGTGCCAAAAGAAAGTGGTCTCCTATGTTCAGCTTACTCCGTGTCTGGGGTAAGTTGACCATAGGAGCGGTTGAGCCGTATCCCTACTACCCTTCCCCTTTTTTTGGAAATAAATGGCTAACCCCTTCACCCGTGTGCTTCTAACCTTCACAGACTCCATGAATCGATGCCCATCTCAGAAATATTTGGTCACATGATAAATTTCTTTTACTATTTCCAAGCATCAGGGGGTGGCTCAACTTATCCTTTGACTCATCTTACCCCACTCTCCCCTACAGAAAATTTAATGTCATAAAATAAATGTTCTTTTTTGTTTTGTTTTGTTTTTTTGTCTTGGAATTTTTTTTGTAAACACAGTTACTGTGTTTACAACACTGAATCCAAGACAAAAAGCTTTTTTTTCTTTCTTTTTTTTCTTTTTACTCTTTTTTATTATTCTTTTTATATTACCAAATTGCCAACAATTAATCTGAGGTTATCTGGGTAAAGTTTCATTTGGCTGCTTCAAAATGGCACCAAAGCCTATCCATAACACCCAGGCCTCCAAAATGCTTGCACAGTGAGAGAACATTGCAATGGATTGGGCTCTGACCAATCTGACTGATTAGACATGAGCTGTGCAGCTGGAATAGCTCAAAAGAAAATCCCAGAGCCTTCTCCTGCGCATCAAACTGCTTTTGCACACATTTATCACATAAAATTGACTCATTGAATTTTCCTCTGTCTTTTGTCTCTCAGGTGATCGCAGCAGCCAAGCAGGGATTTAAGGCGTCAGGCTTTGAACTGAACCCCTGGCTGGTGTGGTATTCTCGCTACAAGGCCTGGAGAGAGGGAGTCCACCGCTCTACCTCTTTCTACATCTCTGACTTGTGGAAGGTCGGTTAAACTCATTGATACAAGGCTGTGTTTAAAAAACTTGGGCATCATACAGTTAAAGCTTATTTTACCTTTTTTTGGACTGTCATTCAAAATATTGTTTCTACAGGTCAGCTTTGCCCAGTACTCAAACGTCGTCATTTTTGGAGTACCCCAAATGGTGAGTTCTCTGTTTGTATAAAAGCTATTTTATCAAGGTTAAGTTACTATTACTGTGATTTGTTTGGCAGTAATAGTCATGAAGGCAGTGAGGTAACAATAGTAACTATTAGGATCAGGGTAACATTGGGTCATTTGCTATTCATCTGTGATCCAGACACAAAATGAGCTTGTGTATTATTTGTGTGTGCATTAAAATCATTTATTAGGCAACATGGATCTCTTTGAGACACGTGCTAAAATGCAAAATACCATGTTACAACTTTGTAATAAATGTTTTGTCATCAATGACAAAGAGAAGTTGATAAAAAAAGCTCTACTCAGTGCAAGATAACGCATAAAGATCATGGCTGATTGATTTCTGAATTCTGTGTGTATTGCATGTGGCCAGCAGGAACAATAGTTTAATTTGTTTGCTGCTTGTTTTTTTCTTGTTGTTTTGTTTTTGTTTTTGTTTTTGTTTGTGGTTTGCTTTTTACTGGACTTTTATTGTCTTGAATGACCTTTGCAAGACTGTACATGTTTTATTGAATTATGTATTGTATTGTCTTGTATTGTATGTTTGTTTTATTTGTGGACCCCAGGAAGAGTAGCTGCTACCTTGGTGGCAGCTAATGGGGATCCGTATGAATAAAGAAAGAATAAAGAATAGTGATAAAAGTGAACATCAGATTGATCCTATGTTAGACTATGGATTGGTTTGGGTGCTTGCTGCTTAACGATAATTTGTCAGGAAATGGGGACCTCTGGTGGTCACTTTTGCTAACACAAATTTTGAAGGGTTGTGAGGTCGGTGTAGGCTTTTTCATAACTTTTTCTCCTCATAACACAATAGGTTATATTTCTGTCTGCAGATGGAACAGCTGGAGCTGAAGCTAGCGAGCGAGTTACCAACTACAGCCAAGGTAGTGGCCTGCCGCTTTCCCTTTCCCACCTGGATTCCTGAACAAACTGCTGGGGAGGGCATAGACACTGTGTGGGTGTATGATGCTAAGACCTTTAAATTAGCCACGCAACATGGAATGACAAGAAAGACGGTACAAAAGTGCGACGACTCACCAGATTCACACATATGAATGGAAACACTCAGTTTGCAGTCTCTTTGAGTTTGATCTGAAATGAAAGACTGGTCAGTGTCTTTATAAGGCACAAAAAATGTGAATTATTGACGCATGTGTTTGAGTTAGAGCTTAAGCTTGAAACAGCTGGAAAGAGAAGCAGTGAGACCGTCATGAGCCTTGGTGAAGGGTTGGGCTCATGTTTAAATTTGTTTTCATGAGAAAAATGATGTTTGGAAAACTGCAAACTCATTCTCTGAATGGGCTGTATCATTAAACAGATATTTCAACATCTGATCAGTGTGTGATAAAGCAAACTTTGGTTTAGAAGGCCAGTGCATGTTGATGACTCGAGTTACTAATGACTACTAGACATGATTTTTAAGTAATTCTTAAAACATGTATTTTTACCTTTATTTGTACTTGCATATTTCAGCAGTTATTACTGTAATTTGCTACAATTGAAGTAGCTTCAGTTACTGAGTAATGATAAATCACTGTGAACATACAAGCTGTCCAACACCAGCACCACGGCCAATTAATAAGGTGTCCACACTGCAAAACACACAGATGTCACGGATTGAATCTGATTTCTTGTCAGAATATCTTATTACACTTTACAAAAGCTACATTGATTGTTGAGTTTAAATAAAGATTGTGATATTTAAGAAGCTTTCTTAATGAGACCCCTAAAATGAGTACAGCGTCTTGTTTCAAGAAATACATCAAGAAAAAATTGCTTGCTGCAATTGCAGACACTTATTAATCACACTCAGTGAAGTCTTTATTTTTGGCTTGCAATGACAATCCTCTGCACAGACAGCCATGTCTTAAGTCTGTAGGGACGGTGTACAAAGTCCAAAGCTGACAATGGAAACTGCAAAAATATGCTCTAACTTCACTTAAGATGGGTGCAGCATCAAAATCACTTAACACATTAAAATGTTTGTTAAACTACACAAATAATTTGAGGTAATTACGGTGGTAACTTGCCCCCCTTAACACCACAATGATTGGTTTAAAATAAGTCTTCAATGCCTTCGTGCCTTGTATGGAAGCTGATTGCATTCACTTCAGAAAAAAACAAAAAACAATTCCTTTGTTTTTCTGAATTAAGGTGAATATTTCAGAATAACAAGATAACTCTGCGATTAATTGTTTTGGCCCTGGTATCTTGTTAATGATTATAAACAGAGCATACTTTTTGTATTTATTTAGGTTATCCCATAATTATGAGATAATAATCTTGTTCATTCAGAAAAACAGCTGACAGCTAACTGTCCTTCCACTGTCAAACATGCAAAACTTGTTATTTGTTTCAGACATGGTTTATGTGGGATGTGGGGTGGGATGTGGGGTGGGGGGCATAACTAAGGAGAGAAGAATAATTGTCGGAAAAAACAATGGCCGTAGTTGTTGTTTTAAAGGCGCAAAGCAGGTTAAGGTGTGTGTATTGTATAGTGTGTTTTTTTTTAATCCATTATAAACCCTGCAGTGGGCCCTGTTGTTGTTGTCTTCGTCGTTGTTGTTGCCGCTGTGATGGTTGCTGGTTGGCACTTTGGTGCCAGCTGGTGGTGAAACTCTGAACAGTCATGTTGTTTCCTAGATGATGTCCTCACCGCTCACGGGTGTTACGTTGGATTTAAGTTTTTAAATGAAAGGCTTTATTTGATTTTTAATGACACCTTTTATCACTGCACGAGTAACCAGGTTGGACTAAACTCTAACTTGAAATGTTTACGTGTAGATAGCCAGCAGTAAACGCCGACTAGCTTCAGTACGGTGGAGCAGCAGGACTGCCTCTGCAGCCAGTCAAGATGGACACCGCCGACGAAGGTAGCTTATGTTTACACTTTTTAAGCGATTATATGAACGTTTCCGGTTAAGTCTGTCTGTTAATGGGGCTCTCTAAACGCATCTGAACACCTGTTCGTATTGTTGCTCGGATGTGAAGTTTTGTCAAACATTGCAAACTGTTCAACAGAATCAAAGAAACCGCTAGCCAATTAGCTAACTAGCAGCCAACTAGCATTAGCTCACAATCGTCAGCCATCAGCTGTTTTCAGTGGTACGAACAGCCTCAAAGCGAACCGACGCGCGAAATAGTTCGCCCGTATTTAATGTGTATTGCAAACTGCCGTTTCCCTGTCAAAGCATGCTGGGATTCTGAGCGACACGAACCTCGCGAGCGACGCAACTTTGAATAGCTTTCTCCCCTTTTTTTGCTATGGTCATGTTTTTTTAGTTAATTATGTAATACTGTGAACTATGTGGTACTCATGGGAAGTGACTTAAATTGAAATAGAAATGAAATCACACCAGTAACTGTTAACGAAGCCGTGCAGACGCGAGTGTGAGCGGAACGGTCGCGTACAGTTTGTCTGAACTGTAGATAGAAATAGCAACGCCAGCTCGTTGTTATGTGTGTCTGAAAACGTTACGTTGATCTCACGAGTCCCTCCGTTGGGGGGTATTTCTCATGGACTTCGAAGTAAAGCACAGCTAATTATCAGTTACATGCGAGGCCCATTCAGTCCTAACCATTCTCATAACACAAGTGGTACTTTATGCAGGGAATGACTCTGTCGCACAGGTCGCTTCTCTCACCTAACAGTGTTTGTTTACTTTAATTCCATGTCTTTAAAGGTTGGGATGATTTGTAAACCAGCTAAAGCCTTTTTAATGGTAGATATAGGAAGCATTGCAAAGTCAACAAGTCAAATGTTAAAACAAGAGTTGCAAAATTTCGGGAATTTTCAAAGTTGGAAACTTTCCATGGGAACGGGAATATATGGGAACTAACGAGAATTAATGGGAATTAACTGGAATAAATCCAAAATTTACAAAATTGAAGGTTGGTCCTTAACAGGGAGCTTAAATATAGTTGGGGAAAATATATTGTGGCATAATCTTGGCTAAATGATTTGTCCAACCCTGGAGACCACACTTTTGAGCCCAATGCACAAGACATTTGAGCAAACGGATTATATAAAGTCAAGTAAGTTTTGATAATATTATCGGGTAAATATATTTGATCTCTAACTGTGTAAGTATTTAACTTCCAAAAATTAAATAAAAAATAGATGCTAAATGTAAGCTATTTTTCATTTCATTGAGCATTTAAGAGGCTAGCTTATTATGGTGGTGGTAGCTACCTCAACTGTGAAACTGTTTCTTCTGACTCCTGCAAGATGGTTTTCTGTAACCATACAATAATTTATACATCAATTGTCAAATATTTTTAAGACCATTCCAGTTGCTTAGCCAACTATATTTCTATTCATGCCATTGTTCATTACCATTAATTGTATTATTTTGCATGGATGTCTGCTTATGACAAAACAAAAGTATTTACATTTATTTTTGGATGTTTGTTTAAATTACCCCCAATTTCCATTTTATTCCCATAAATTCCCATAATTTCCATGGAAAGTTTCCAATTTGGAATATTTCCAAAATTCGCCAGCTTAACTTCCCATGGAAAGTTACTGGAAATTCACCAGAAATTGTCTGCCTCTTTGCAACCCTAGTTGAAACTGAAAAGTTGTTATCTAAAAGATATGCTAATACTTTTATATTATCCTTTTAACACACTTCAAGACTGCTAGGAGAGGGACTTCAAAAAAGATATTTCGAGCCAAAATATATTGTTACCTGGAGAAGTGTCTTTCTTTGGTCAATAAATTAATAATGTAAGAAAAGTTGCTCTGTGTTCAATCAGCAAAGAAATTAATATTAAAAGTTTCAGAGAGTCATAAGACATCTTGCTGCAAAGGGGGCAAGGCTAAAAACTCAGGCCTCTGGTGGCACCCTTATGATAGGCATGGCTCTCCGGTGTAGGTCACTGCATGTGCTCAATATTGCTTCTGAATCAAGCCTGTGAGCAAAGTTAGTTGCTGCATTCACAAATGCAAGTCTTTTTAAATAGTACTATGAAAAGTGGAAACCAAATGTAAACGTCATCCAGAAACATTGGCAAGTTCCCTGGGCCTGAGCCAATCAAAGTTAAACCAAGGGGAGGTGGGAGGTGGGTTCTTTGGTCTGATGAATCAAAATTTGATATTCATGTTGGAAACCACAGAGGCTGCATCCACTGCACTTAAGACGGGACAGGCCACTTGGCTCGTCGTCAGTGCACACTTTTAAGGCCAGCATCCCCGATAGTATAGTATGAATGCCAAACAACAAATACAACAGAGGAGTCCCGTGTTGAGCAGCTAAAACTCTATTTCAAACAAAAAGGGACAACACTTTGATAACTCCAGAATCTGGTCTTCTCTCGGTTGTTAGTTTACTGAGTTTTGTGAAACTTAGTGGTTAACATGCTTCTGTACTAACTTGTTTAAAAAGTGTTGCTGGCTTAAAATTTCAAAGGAGCATTTTTTGTAAAACGGACAAAGTTATTGTTTTTGACATTTGATGGTTTTGGCACTGTTTTCACTTCAGCAAAGGATTTCAATGACCTACAGACCATCAAATTCTGTTTGGTCAGCATTTTACCTAGCTTCCCCTCTACTATAGATTTAACAGTTTTGGGATTAAAAATATAATCTAAAATAGTTGTCAGTACAGCAGCAGTAGTATAGTTAAATTATATTATCAGCATAACAGATAACCCAAACTTGTCTTTTAATCCTGAATATTTAGAGATGCATTCTAAACAATCGAATGAAATGTTTTGGGAGTATGATCTCATGGTATGATTGGTTATTGTGTTCCCATCATGCAGCAGACATCTGCCGAGTATGTCGGTCTGAGGGGACCCTGGACAAGCCCCTCTATCACCCCTGTGTCTGCACTGGCAGCATCAAGTTTATTCACCAGGAATGGTAGGTTCAAAATGTCTACTGTGTCATCTTTCCCTCAGCCTGTGCTGTATATTTGTCTTTTGAGTGAGCGCATTTTCAAACATTTGATCTAGTTCATGTTTTTACTACTCCAAAATTTGTTGACTTTGTTAAGATGAAACATTTTCTGTTATCAATAATAATAATAATAATAATAATAAATTTTATTTGCATAGCACTGTTCATAGCACTCAAAGACTCTTTACAAGGAAGAAAACACAGTAGTGAATAGGATAAAACACATGACAAAGACAGAGTAAAAACAGATTAGAAAGACAGGCTGAAATACATTTGCATTAACAGTTAAGAGCAGATTTGAACAGGTGGGTTTTTATGAGGGATTTGAACTTTGATATATCAGCACAGTCCCGGATGTGTTTGGGGAGAGAGTTGCAGAGAGAGGGCAGCTATGGAGAAAGCCTGGTTCCTCCAGGTTTGGTGCTTAGTCCTCAGAACAGGTGAGAGAAGGTTAGAGTCTGAGCATCAGAGTGTGCAGGGGAAGGAGTATAGGGCTGTAGCAGATCAGTGAGGTCGGAGGAGGCCTGGTTATGGAGGGCTTTAAAGGTGAGAAGGACCTTAAACTGAATGTGTTGGTGAACAGGGAGCCAATAGAGATTTTAGAGGACTGGAGTGATGTGGTCGTGTGAAGGGGCGTGAGTGAGGAGGGGAGTGACAGAGTTTTGAATTAAAGTTTGGTTAGAAGTGTAAAGCTGTGTGACTTGACAGCAGGGCTCTCAAAGAAGATTAGCTGAAACAGTCCAGAAAAAAGGTTATGAGGCTTTTGGAAAAAAAGCTCACAGTCTGTTCTCTGTTTTCACAGCTTACTGCAGTGGTTGAAACACAGCAGAAAAGAATACTGTGAACTATGCAAACACAGATTTGCATTTACACCAAGTAAGTCTTTCTTTTTTCTCCTGTAGATTAGATCAATGCACTAATGATGTTTTAATTAGTTTGAAGCTCTTTGTAGTACCTCATTCTTTCTGTTTACATTGGGTATTAACATGTGTCCTAAGTGATGAAATCACTGGGGAACAGCTGCAAGGATGGTGAGGAGCCACACTGTGCAAAGATTGGGACATGCACGTGTCTCTTCTGCTGTTGAATTTACTACAGTATATGCAATAACACATTTTGGTTTCATCATAAAAAATGAACTTACACAAAGTATGGTACAGATTGAAACAGGATGAGAGGTCAAGTGTGCTGTGCATCTTAGCAATGTTGATGTCTATATTCCTAGATGTTCACTCGTGATGGGCTCATCCAGGGCAAAATGAATACCAGCTGTAACCAGGGCCATCATGCACCCTCCTCCCTCACTTCCACTGCCTTCTCTCTGACCTCCACCACCCTTTTTTTTTTCTAGTCTACTCTCCAGACATGCCATCTCGCCTGCCTGTCCAGGATATCTTCGCAGGTTTGGTCACCAGTATTGGAACAGCCATCAGATACTGGTTTCACTACACACTTGTGGCCTTTGCCTGGCTTGGTGTGGTGCCTCTGACTGCATGTAGGTGATATCATGCCAATGTTTAAATGAAGGGTGTCAGATATAGAATCTTAACAACTGTTTAAAAAAAAAAGAAATGGTTCGAATGCCTGAACAAAAACATCTTTGACTTTTTCTCACATTATAATAACTGGGCCCATAACATCCTCAACTAATGGTTTAATGTTGTGCAAATCTTTTGTCAACCACAAGACGTTGATCCCTTCATTATGAATAACTTAAATTAGAGAAGGAGTAGCATCCAGTCTAAACAATAAGCTTTAAAAAAAGTGAAATAAACTCATTCTGTTTTCAAGAGGCAGATTAAAGCAGATTCAAGGAGTTTTACCGATTCACTTTTCTTTTTATTTCTCACAGGTCGAATATATAAGTGTTTATTTACTGGCTCTGTGAGCTCTCTTCTTACGTTGCCACTAGATATGCTTTCAACGTAAGTATAAATCCTCTCTTTTTGTCTTTCTCTCACTCTGCTCTGTCCCTCTATATTGTAGGACTGTGTGTTCTGAGTGTTTTTAGTTTACAAAGATGATTGTGATCTGAATGGGGACCGAATTGTGGTTAATAGTAGTTCCACCCATCTCATGACCTTTTTCATCTTTGTCCTCCTCTTGAGGTTAAGTCATGTACTAAACAGAGGTGAAACGAATTATTTTTTCCTTCCAGACAAAACCTGCTTGCAGACTGCCTTCAAGGCTGTTTTGTGGTCACTTGCACGCTGTGCGCCTTCATCAGCCTGGTGTGGCTCAGAGAGCAGATTGTCCATGGCGGTGCCCCTCTCTGGTTAGATCAACATCAGCCCCCTCTTGTTCCTAACCCCCCTCATGATCCTGCACCAGCTAACGAGGTGAGATCACTACATTATCATCTGTCATCAGCCAGCATCTCTTATTGTCCTGCACACACAGCTGGGTATTGTCCAGCTTAGAGTATTGACTCCTCCTCCGCGTTAATCTACCAGGAATGCACTCTGACATAGCAGGAACAAGGACAGGTGAATAAAAAGCAAGGGAAGTTTTATTTGGTTTATCTCAAATCTATCTTTGTGTCACATGAAGGTGGATTAAAACATATTGATTTAGTTCATAATACTTAATCTAAGTTAAACTTCTCTCAGTTGGTGCTGGTTTACAGAAGGCAGTCACTCTAGTTTTTCTCTCTGCCAGAGGTAATATCTGAGCGGTAATTCTTCGTGATACCAGGATGCGCTCACTCAGCTGGTCGAGACATTAGTTCATGTTTGGAGATCAACAAACAGGGCTTACAAGGTTGGGTTTTCCTCCAAAAAAAACCTGTTCCTTTCCAAATTTAAAACTATGACTGCTGTCACTGCGCCCCTGAGAAGCCAAGTGTTAATTCGTCTCACTGCTAAAGATGTCCAACACTACATGTTGTTTTTATTCACAATACCATCACGACTCTGTAGGTCCTCGGGGGTGACATTGGTGCCAATGGTCAGGCTGATGATGCAGCTGTCCGGCACCCTGCAGATGCTGCTCCAGATGCACCAGACCCTGCTAATCCTAATGAAGCTGGTAACCATGGAGATGATCCAGAACTTGACGATGAGGAAGATGATGATGACGGAGAGGAAGATGAAGAGGAGGAGGAGGATGAGGAAGGCAGAGAAGAGGATGCTGCTGATGCCAATAATGGAGGACAAGGTTGGCAAAGTGTGAACTGTCCTTAAACTGCTTTTTTCCAGAGTTAATAAACCTACACCTGGAAGAGCATCATACTTGTTCTTCACTGTTCATGTTCGAGCTCTGTGCTTTACTTTGCAGAAGATCTTAACTGGAACGCCTTGGAATGGGACCGTGCAGCTGAGGAGCTGACCTGGGAGAGGGTAGGCATCAATCATTTTTGTCTTTGCGTGGAAGTGAAAGTATGACTGCAGCTGTTGGGCCAAGACATTTCAATTCTAAGGAAGTTTCCTCAAGCTTCATACTTGGTATGTCCATGGTTCAGGTGGGGTTTGGGAAAATGCATTTGGTGGATCTGAGGCCAAAAGAAATGTACTTCTGGTTTAAACAGAAGGCGTACAGTTAAGGTCAAAATGAATCCAGAGGAAGCCATTTCAGCAGCAATCATCTTAGCAGTGATCCAGGGATTCTTGTCGTTGTTCATCTGTTTTTTCTCCAAAGCCACCGGCTCAACCACATCCAGGTGTATTTTGGAAAGACTTAGTTTCTTTGTGCTTTACAATGATGCATCACACAGCTGTTCTAGAAACTGCAAAACACTTGCAAATGACATTATATCCTTCTCCCTTAAGGTGAGCATCACTGATTTCTTGGCTTAATGATATCACTTCTTACCAGGGTTTTGGAGCAACTCTAGAGTCATTCCTTTAGATCTAGTGGTCAGGTAACACTGGCCCTGCTTCTTGGAGCTACTTATGTTGGATTTAGTGCTAACTGATTGCTGAGGTGTGGTTTCAAAACCTAGTTGATGTGTTGTAAAAGCTCAAAATCACATGGGGGCTAAGAATTTTGATCTCAACTGTAGTCAAAGAAGTAAGAAAATCGTGTTCATTGTTAAGGATTTTGATGATGTTCCCATTTCTTTTATCCTAGATGCTGGGGCTGGATGGCTCTTTGGTTTTCCTGGTAAGTGTACAGCTTTGTACACACAATGTAAATTGTGCCTTAAAGTGAAATTCCCATAAATTTGAAAATACATCTAATAAATATGGCCCAGCTCACAGCCAGCAATGTGCATATGTCCAAAAATGTGAACATAATCAGAATAATTAACATTTTTGGACTTTTAATTTTTATGGAGATAAACATTTTGTTGCTCCACCTTTGTCCTGACATTTTTTAGTTTTACTTGCTAATTTCTCAAATTTCATTTCCCATAAATGATGCAATAATCATTATCGTAATATTGTATGGCCACAATATTCTCAAGGTGGAAATCTGATATTGTGACAGCTGTACTTACTGAGCTGCTGTCTGTGCATGAACAGTTTTCATTGAGAGTTTTCCAGAAACAGCTCAAAGAAACTGTTTTTGTGTCTGTCATTTTCAGGAGCATGTGTTCTGGGTGGTGTCTCTCAACACTCTCTTCATCCTGGTCTTCGGTAAGTAAAGGGGCTCTCATACCAACATCGTTAAGTCAGGGCTTCCTGACTTTTCTGTTTGGTTCGAACCAAAATGATAGGTGTGAAACCTCCCCTGGACCTTGTTTCGCACAAAAAGAGGTGGTCTTGGTCCAGACCAAACTGAACCACAGTCTGGTTCATGCCCAGTGTGAAAGCATTATTTTGAAAGGTTCGGACTTTCGTAACAAAGACAGGAAATGACACAAGGAGTTGAAGTATCAGTTATTATGTTGACTGGAGATTGTCCACAAGTGGGGAAATTTTATAATATTGTAGATAAAGTTTTAGACCATACTATTGACAGCTTATCTTTTCAAGAGTTTTCCAACACGTAGTAGGCCTGGACGATATAGAAAAAAAGCATATCGATAAAAAATAAATCATATTGATCGATATCGATAATTATCGATATAATTGTTATAATTATTTAACATATATTTTAATTGCAGTCCTGGATGTTTTATGCTATTGCTTAATGACCTACTTTTAATAAAGAACACACAAGCACTGAATTCAAATTCAAACCTTTATTCAACCACCTTTTTTATTTTACCACAACTGTTTTTTAAAAAAGAACTTAAAAAAAAAAATAAATCAACTTAAGTGGCCTGAGTGACGTCAGTAAATACTGACAAACATAAAGACTAAAGTGACCAGAAAATCTGATTAATAAATATTTAAATAGTCTTTTGATGAAAATAAACAAATATATAAATAAACAGAATAGCTTTAGGTGGGAATAGCATACTACCAGTTTTAACTGTGTGGGAAACTGCCCACAGCCTGGTGTCTGAACACTGAAATATTTCTCCCTGGGTCGGGAGATTTATTATTTTTAATTATCATGTGATTGACTTAATACACAAACTAAGCACGAGAAGCAGGACTTATCCACGCCGGTGTTGTGTCGTAGAATGCACCCCTGCCGAATGCACCCCCTGCTAGTAGCCATGATCCAAATACTCGCGTCTTAGTAAAATATGAGCTCATTTTCTTCCACTTTAAGAAGCTACACCGGAACGTATTTCCTCCGCACCCTTCTCACCTTTTCAACCCCTGACCCATTTTCAAGCCTGAAGCGCTGTGTTTGAGAAATACTTGCGGCCGGGCACTTCATATCGCGGGTCGAGAGTGGCTAGAAGCTGGTCGAAGCCAGGCTTTTCAACGGTAGTTATTGGCAGTATGTCCCTCGCTATGGAGCATGTTACTGCATGGGTGATGTCCTTATGCCGCTCGGACGCTTTGTCGTATTTTGGCAAGGAACGAAGTCCAGTTTGGTCTGCTTCACATGCTTTGTGCTGGTGCTGGCAGCGGTTCCAGAGGATTCCTCCTCCGACTAAGATGTGGAGCCGCGGCGCGGCCGACACAGCTCGTACTCCTGCGGGTGCGATCGGTTTAGAAGGTAAAACAAGTTGGTTGTGTTACCAGACTTCGTTTTTACTAATTCTCTGCAAATTTTGCAAACGACCGCTGTTCGCTTTTTGTCAGACTTCTAAAAACCAAAACATTGCCATACTGGTGAACTACTGAAACCTTTTTTCGGGACAATGTCCTCCGCTTCTCCTTGCTGTATCATTTATTCTAATACACGTGCTGTCTGTTGTGGTTTGAGAGGGGCTGGGCTTGGTGCCGTAGCGTACCTGGGTCTGCGTTTGTGATTGGTTGGGAAGAAGTAATGACTGTAGTAAAAGCTACATGATAGGCTATGATGAAAAAGAAAGGGAAACTGTGTTTTTCTATCGAACTTTTTATCGACCCGTTTTTTTTCTATCGCACCACACGTCTATCGATCGATATATATTATTATCGAATTATCGTCCAGCACTAACACGTAGTCTAATGATAAAATTCACAAGATGAACTTGGACCAGTCTCATGTATGGCTGCTTAAAGTTGTCGCTGTCGAAGGAAGACAATCAAAAATAGTACGATGGCGGGAATGACGATTTCATTTATGTTTACATTCACAACATATGAGACCTGTGTTGTTCATTGTGTTGATGTCAGATGCCCGTCGGCCAAATGACTAATCAATACAAACTACAGAGACACACAAAGCACGTAGTTGATGACAATATCACGTAGGTTTGTCATGTAAAGCCTGTTAGTCTGTTTGCAATAATGACAGTGTGAAACCTTAACAGACTGAACCAAATGTAAACAACATAACAAAAACATGGACCTTGGTTCAGACTGTGGTCTTGGACTTTCAGGTGTGAAAACACCCTAAGACATTTCAGACAACACTGATAGTTACAAATGTAGAAACCATCAGGCGGTCTGTATGCTGTACAGAACAGTTATTTTCACAGAAGTTTGTGAATGACCTGATGTCAGCCAGTGCTGTGCATCTTCATACACACACTCCTTTCTCAAGATTCTGATGTCATTTCTTTTTCTCTAGCTTTTTGCCCATATCACATTGGTCATTTCTCGGTGGTTGGACTGGGCTTTGAGGACTATGTAAGTACACAGGACCACTCTGTCACAGTTTTGGAGTTTGTTCTGCGTTAATCAAACTTTTTGATGAAGATATTATGTGATTGCAGATCAAAGCTTCTCACTTTGATGGCCTCATTACCACCATACTGGGATACATCCTCCTGGCAGGCGCTCTCATCGTCTGTCACGTATCCTTAACATGAAAAAGAACTTTGTGCAGAAGACAACAGTGTGTTTCATATGCTCACTTGCTCATTAGAAGTGTCAAAAAATACATTTCTTCAGTCGAGTCATTAGTGTTTGTCTCGGCTGGATTTTGTACATAGTTATATGATGATTGACACTTTTGGCTGGTTTGAAGGAGTTGGGGTTGAGGGGTTGAAAACATGATGTAGGTGTTTGAAGCTTGGTCATTAACATTTAAATTTGATGCTTCAATTACACACTGAATCGTTTCACATTTGGCTGCAAGTTCTTAACAATGTTTTCTTCAGGCGTTGGCTTCATTAGTGAGGTTTCAGCGGTCAAGACGTCTCCTCGGTGTCTGCTACATTGTTGTTAAGGTAAACGAGAGATGAAGAATTTCAGTGTTTAATAAATAACCCACCGTGTTTTCACCTAACAAGCAACACTTCATTAAATAATGATTTAGAAAATTATGATTCCAAAAGTTATTAAAACAGAAATTAATTGTGTTGTTTTTATGTCTGTGTGGCAGGTGTCTCTGCTAGTTGTCATGGAGATCGGCTTGTTCCCTCTGATTTGTGGTTGGTGGCTTGACATTTGTTCACTGGTAAGACAATCGTGCAGAGAAAACTCAGTTTATCCTGTTGATTCAGGCAGCACCGTCTGAACCACTAAACCATCCAATTGAATTTAATTATGATTCTGCATATTGAGAAACCACGTGAACTGAATATTTTAAAATATTGGTTTTGATGTAAGCTCAGATGACATAGAGCATGTGGTTTTCTCATTGCAGGAGATGTTTGATGCGACTTTACAGGACAGGGAGCAGAGCTTTGACTCAGCTCCTGGTACCACCATGTTCCTCCACTGGCTGGTGGGTATGGTCTACGTCTTCTACTTTGCCTCCTTCATCCTCCTGCTCAGAGAGGTGAGTGAAGGCGTCAAAACAGTCACTTTTAAAAATCACCATACATTTCAGCTTTTCAATTTTTAAACTTTCAATTGAATGTTTATGTATTTTTTTGCAGGTTCTTCGCCCTGGTGTCTTGTGGTTTCTAAGGAACCTGAATGATCCAGATTTTAACCCGGTCCAGGAGATGATCCACCTTCCCATCTACAGACACCTGCGAAGATTCATCCTCTCTGTGGTCAGTCAAATACCCCCTACCTCTGTGTTTTACCAAGACTAATCTCCAGTGACAGACAATGATACTGTGTGTATATCAAATCAACTGCACTACATCCAACAATCTGAGAAGATGGAAGCACATTTTTACAAGGGAGTAAAGCTGAAAGGAAGGAATCTTGTGGGACCAGCAGATACACCTGAGCCTCCTATTGTCTCTCCTTTTTACATCCGTGTTTCCTCTCCTCACCTCCTCTCCTCGTATTTTAAATGGTGCAACCAGAAATCAAAAAGCAAAAAGGAGACAAGGCGTGTAGCAACAGGCGTATAACCAAACATCTATGTACAAACGGTGTAGTACAGTGCATCAGTGTGAAAGTTTTATATCGTCCCTCTTTTATACAACAGGCAGATGTCTTAAAAAGCAGCAGCTGGGATGGCCTCCTTTTGTTATTGCTGTTTTTAGAAGTAAGCCATAATTGTGCACTGCACAAAAATGTGCACTGAGATCATTTTCTGGGTCACTTGCATGCGAAGCACAAAGAGGAGACCAGTAAGCAGAAAACAGAGAAATGGAAAAGCACCAAGGTCATCTTGGGGAGTAGGAGGTGATGAAGGGCTGGGGTTGGGTCTAAGAGACAGGATAATAACACCCTCAATTAATTGTTTTAAAAGTCTTTGAGGTTTGATTAGCTCGACAAAAGGTGTACTTAGGTCAGATCAGTGGATGTGACTGTTCATGGAGAATTTCTGGTAGTCTGGCAAAGTAACTTCAACAGTAAGTCTTTGTTTTGTTTTCTTTCTCTGTGGGTGTTTTTGTATCTTCAGGTGGTCTTCGGCTCCATGGTCCTGTTGATGCTTTGGCTTCCCATCAGAATCATTAAAATGCTTTTCCCAACGTTCCTCCCCTACAACGTCATGCTTTACAGGTACACCCAAAAACTCTACTTTGAAATAAAACTCTCAGCCTCTCCAAGCAGGATCAAAACATGATCTACTTTTAATGTTGTCTCAGATAATAATGAGAAACGGCTTGCACACTGCAGGGCTCCATTATTCCAGGAAATTTAATTCATCAGTGCAGTAATGGAATGACATGTTCTGGAATATTAGAGCCCTGCAGCTTTCGAGCTGTTGTTCTTCATTTTCTGTGATAACACTTTCTCTGCCCTTTCTTTGCTGTAAAATTAAAAAAAAGTGCTGCCTTTGTCAGACAGACTGTATTTAAAAAGTAATCAGAGATGATGTCTGGTCTCTGCAGTGATGCTCCAGTCAGCGAGCTCTCACTGGAGCTGCTGCTGCTCCAGGTTGTTCTTCCGGCACTTCTGGAGCAGGGACACACCCGCCAGTGGCTCAAACGACTTGTCCACGCCTGGACTTTCACTGCTGGATACATGCTGTAGGTTTAATACACACACTCACACACACGCGCACACAGACACACACACACACACACACACACAAACAAACATAAATGCATTACGGAAACACGTGTTAATCATTATTAAATCAAAAATGACTATTCTCACAGTCTTAATCAACCATATAGAGAGTTACAACACTGTTCAGAGGACATTGTGAGGAAAAAAAGTCTAATCATAGTAGGACTGGGCAATTATATGATCGTGATTAATGATTGTGATAAATTTCAGTTCGATCACAGTGATCAGCTGTGAGCATATTTACCCGATCAAACATAGTAGAAATGTGCGTCACAACAGCCAATCAGAGTCAAGCTTTTCCTGCTCACTTCTGTAAGTTGCTGGAGAAGTGAACACGGGAAGTAAACAGAATGACAGAACACAGGGCTAATCGCAAAGCTGAGGGCAGCAGACTAGATGTCAGCCATGATTTTCATCATCCTCCAAAGATGCTGTTGTTGAGAAGAAAAGTTACTCAACGTCGGTTGTGTGGTAATGGTTCGAGTATCCCCAAAGTGACGTCGAGCAATTAAGCCGACGTGTAAGGTATGTCGGCAGTCGGTACCCTCAAAAACCGGCAACACAACAAATCTGTTTAATCATTTGAAAAAAAGTACTTCTCCAGCAATTATGCAGAAAGCATGAAAATGTGAGCAGAGTCTGCACAGCCTGACACTGCTGTCAGTATTTAGTATTAGCAGTTTAGCCACAACAAGCAGTGCAGCCACCAGACCAAAACAGCAATCAATGGTATCATCTACGTTTACATCATCTAATGTTTACATTTTAAGGCATCTTCATTATCCCTGAGGGGGTGATTTGATTATTTTGGGTCTTGCATACCTGAAAAAACACTCAGAACTGTAAACTATCCCTATCAAATATAGGATTTTTAACGGTATCAGAGCGCCTCAGATCTCCAGCTTTGACTGCCAAATGCACCATTAACTTCTTTTATTAACACCTGATATGCAAGTCACTGCTCTCATGCTTGTTTAGACGTTGTTTGTCCTTCTGATGAGCACCTGATCCTCCACGGATACTCCGACCCCACGCTGCACTCACCCACTTGGTTTTTATATAGTTCACTGTATTATTTAGTATTTGTCTACATTTGTTGTACTGTTCAGTAAAAATGTTTTTTATATTTATCTGTTTATCTTATTAATTTGCTTTATTTAGTTGGTATGTTAATGAAATGTTGAACTAATCTCTAGTTTCCTTAGTTTTCAGTACAGATGCTTAAAAACTGACAGTTAAAAATAAAAAAAAATGTGATAATAATGGAGATGGGACGATATGTCAAAATATATCCTGATCTTTTTTTTTGCCAAATCGCCCAGTCCCACATCATAGATTTTGTTATAACACAGTCGCACCAATAAGACAGAACAGTTACTCACCCAAAGCTTTCCCCACAGTGACCTTCACTCCTACCTTCTGGGGGACCATGAAGACGGTGAGGACCAACCAAACAACAACCTACCTGGTCGCCATAACAATAACAGGATCCCTGGCCTTGGTGAAGGGCTTCACGCTGCTCACCAGGCCATCCTGCAGCAGGGAGGTCCTGTGGGTTTCAGGTCCTATCACCGACCAATTAACTTCCCCCTAAAGGTGACTCACAGTGCCGATACTCTTATCATATGTTTACCCCCTGCTACTGTCAAAGCCTGGACTGAGTTATGAATTATTGCTGCAAAACTGATTGACTTTGGTCTTTTTTTGTGTCTAGATTGTTCTGCTGGTTGTTTTTATGTGTGTGACATTGTTACTGGCAAGTTTGATCTGCCTCACGTTGCCAGGTAAGTGAGAGGTTTTATCTCTTCTTTTCTGTGCAGGTTTCATAGTCTCCAATTTATCCTCCCTCTCCCTGTGTTCCAGTGTGTGCAGGTCGCTGGCTGATGTCCTTCTGGATGGGCAGTGCCATGGTTCATGAACTGTACACAGCGGCCAGCGGTCTGTACATCTGCTGGCTGTCCATCCGAGCAGCCACTGTTCTGCTCTCATGGATGCCACAGGGCCGCACAGTCATCATACTCAAAGTCCAAGAGTGGACACTCATGGTAAAGTAGCTTTTTTACTCATTCTCTGCACTAATGGAAAGAAGTGAAGCTGTCTCTGTGCTTGTTGGTTGTTAAGACACAGTGTCCTGTTACATACAGATTCTAAAGACGCTGGTGGTTGCAGTCATGTTGGCTGGTGTGATTCCTCTGCTGTTGGGTTTGCTGTTTGAATTGGTTATCGTGGCTCCTCTGAGAGTCCCACTGGACCAGACGCCTCTCTTCTACCCCTGGCAGGTAGGACTTTGAAGATGATGTTTGTCAAAAGTAGTGATCCCAACTTAGACACCATTGAACTGTGTCGTTTAACTGTTTAACCAGTTCAGATGTCTGCTTTCTCTGATCATGTATTTTCTGGCTAAAATGCCTGTCCTTGTTTACTGAGTCTCTATGTATGTAGGTGTAAATATATGTTAGAGTTTTAGTTTAAAATATATAAAAAGTTAGTTTTGTGTCTCTCAAAAGAAGGTTTAGGGAAGAACACATACAGCTAAATGTTGATTTAAAACCAGATTCACACAGTGTATTACTCAAGGCTACCAAATTGTTTTTTAGGCACTGGGCCTTTGTGTGTACACATGTTTAACAAGTTTGAGACAAACATCACTGTGTCTGGTTGTTTTGTTTTTGTCTACGTGTGGCAGGACTGGGCTCTGGGTGTGCTTCATGCTAAAATCATTGCTGCCATCACACTAATGGGTCCTCAATGGTGGCTTAAAACCGTCATCGAGCAGGTCAGTGTTTCATCCATTCTTCATTGAAGTAAAAGGCGCTCCATCCTTCACACGTGCACTCTCAGTGTGAAGTCAGCAAGTTGGCAAACAGAGACTTGCATGTACACTTCAGCGACAGATCTTTACCTTTCCATGAACATGACAGGTAATTGAATGTTTCACAGGAAAGTGAAATGAACAAACCAGAGAAGAGAAGTGAGTTTAAGGCCATCTTACTACCCTTGAGGTTATTTTTATCCTGTTATGTGCTGCTCTCCCGGGTTCAAAGGAACATTTCACCAAATTAGGGCTGTAAAGTCCTGGTCGACTGGTCGAATTATTGGTCGATTCGTGCTGAGTCGACCAAAATTCTGATTGGTCAACTCGATTATTTTCCGCATCAATTTACAGTCTATGGTTAATTTCATCGGGGGGAACATACAAAGTGCAAATGGAGGTGTTTTTAGAGCACCTCCCTTTCACAGGAAACAGCCTGTCTTTAAAACCCTTGTTGTTTTCATCATTGTGGATTCGCCTAACACACTGGAGACCGGCTGGAGACCGGCTGGAGACAGGGAGATTGGAGAGCATCTTTGTTAATCAACGCCCGGTGGTTTGCTGAATATAATAAGCAAAAGTGATTAATAGAATAGAATATTATTAGAATATTATTAGAATAGAAGTGATTCTGTACTGGGAGCAGGGGATATTGTTGTACTGACTGGAGGAATTTCAGAACATTGTCAGGGACTTGATTTGTGTCTGGAAGGTGAAGAACTGACTCTTTTCCTTTTCAGTGAGCTGCATAGACGACATACTGTATGGGTATATCTTTTTCACATGTGTTGCCCTTTACCTGTGAAAAACCTCTCCATATAGGCAGACTCCATTAATCACCTTGAGCTGTTTATAGCAGGGAGTAAAAGTCGTTCCACTGTCATGAAGTTTTTTTTTCTCTCATACTTAAAGGTGTACGCTAACGGTATCCGAAACATTGACCTCCATTTCATCGTGCGAGGGCTGGCTGCTCCTGTCATCTGTGTCCTGCTGCTTTCTCTCTCAGTGCCGTACATCATCTCGAAGGGCATCACACCTCTTCTAGGTGAGTCTGAGTGTGGGCTTCTTTGTTTATGTAAACATGAGATGTTTAGTGCAGTCATCTCTCCTTATAAACAGATAGTTTGCAAAGTTTAGGTTCCCTCATCTCTGACTCGAAATTTAGTTTTCTATTCCTGTATGACCATTACCCCCAATTTCCGGAACGGCTACAAAAAGGCCTTATCCGCCGATCGCAGCTGATTGTAACCATTCAAGTTAATGTGTCAATTTCCACTGGCTTCTTTCTGTCCGGTTCACTGGACTCTGCAGCTGATCACAAGAGCTCTATTTTTTCTGGACGCTGGAGCATGCTGGATAAATTCAGCACAGATTAGCCCATGCTGGGAAGGAAGTCAGGCACAGACACAAAATAAAACATCTGGCTTCTTTTCAAAATAAAACACTACTTGTTTTTTAGGTGGAGTGTATTTCACACCATGCAAATAGGCGGGGACGAACAAGTGAAAGGTTTTTAGACGGCATTTCACCCCGATGACACCGTGGAGATGCTGATTCTAGAAGCCTAGAAGTGGATTTCCTCCTTTGGAAGGACACAATGTACAGCTTATATGGTTATGTGGCTGTGTGAGAGACAACTCGTTATCGTGCGATTGCACGTGAATCTGCGGGTTCTTGTGAGTTCTAGCGATTCCTGCTGTCTGTACTTTCACACGAAATTCGCCTCACAAATGGATCCAGTAGGAATTGGCGGACGGCAAAAATCCCCCCCATTCCGGATGTGGTGGCGATTCGGGGTTAATTAGTGAAAGGCTGACCTGATCTAGAGAAATTTGCTTCCTTTCTCTGTGATGTTTGAATTGATCTTTGAGGTACTGTAATTGTACAAGAACATTTCTTTTGAAACCCAATCAGTCCTAATTTGGAAGATTTCCGGCAACATATTTAGCTGAATATTTCACTCATCCAAAACCTCTTTTCTTTTATCAAAAACTTTAACGAGTCATTTACAAGTTTAATGTGATTGTTTGGAGTAACAACAGGCAAGTATGAAAGGAGATTATGTCATACATGACACAACACTTATCGACACATGGATTAATTTTGTCCATTTAACTTATACGACAGTGAAAGCAATGTTAAGAATGTGAGGGTATTTCTGTGTTTATTCCGTCATCAGTTTTGATTGACAGAAAAATAAGAACCTAAATCAGAAAGGGGAACTTTGTTTTTAGATCTCTACAGCGTGAAAAAGACTGACCACTGTCCCAGAGTCCAGCGTAAGTACACACGAGCTCATCTGTGTTTGGGCCCATGTTGTTGAAGTTTCTGACTAAATTAGAGGTTGTTACAGACAAAGTCAGGCACAGAGGTATCAGACACGCTCGGAAATGGTCAGGCTACAGCTCAGGCAGACTTACACTCATTTAGATTCAGGGCTCACTTATGCAAAGCCTTCCCATGGCACCAAGTTTTGTTTAAACAACTGTTTTTGAAGTTGATTGGTACAGGATTTGATTGGATTTGAAAACAAGTCAATTAAAGATTCCCAGCCTTTGTGGTCATCAGGATTTCAGCCGTTGAGCGAGTCAAACTGTGATCAATGTCTTTTCGTCTTTCATTTACTTTGTGTTGGAAGGCTGGAGTCAGTCAGTTCCCCTCAGACACACTCACTCATTAAAAGGAGATTCAGCTGCAGTCTCTGTCTTCACTCAATAACTCCATCTCCCCCCTTTACTCCCCCTCCTCCTTTTGAAGGTGTGCAGCCTGAGATGCAGACTCTGGTGGAAAGGAGGATCTACCCCTTCCTGCTGATGGTGGTCATACTGTTGGCCATCCTGTCCTTCCAGATCCGACAGTTCAAACGCCTCTACGAGCACATCAAGAATGACAAGTCAGTAAACTCAAAATCCAGCAGCACACACAGAAAGAGCTTAGAGTTCAATTTTCTGGTCCTATCTTAGAATTTAAAGGTTAAATACAAGGCTTTGACTTCAAGTACTTCTAAAATGAAGTCTTATAATAATGATAATATAATCTTTGTTCTTTAAATAAATTTTAAAAAAGTGCTTCACAAACATAGAAGCCAAAAAAAGGAACAAAACAGTGAGACAAAATAGCAAGACATACCAATAATGACCCACACGGCTTAAAACAAGGGTTGAATCAGGAAAAAAAAAGTACTAAAAGTGATTTTAAAAAGTGGCAGAAGAAACAATACAGACACCAAATAAACAGAGTAATAGTTGTAACTTGGCAGTCAGCTGTTTGTCATTACTGATGTATGACTTAAAATAGACTTAAAAAAAAATAAGAATATAAGATGATTAAATTTTTAGGTTGAATTGATCACTATCCAAACAATACAAATACTGTGTATTTCTAGGTTCTCCTAATGTAGAACATAAGAGGGTTTAACTGTACAGATAGTATTATTAAAAGATCATTTATTATTATTTTTTTAATTTCTTTATATTTAAGATATTTCACTGTTGTTGTTCTTTGCTCATTCATGGAGCACATCAAGAATTTTAGGCTGCACTATAAAAACACCTCAGCATGTAGGATGGGACATCAAACTTTAGAAACAGAAACTTTGGCAGTATTTTTGTGAGCTCAGTTACTCTGAATAAATCCTTCAGTCCACCCCTAAAGCACAGTCATGTTATTATGTAAAAAAAAAGCTTGTTTCTTTGATGTGACTGTCTGTATGCACTTTGTGTCGTCAAACATCGCAGCCTGAGCACTTAGTGTTTGTGGAAAGTTTCATGGTGGCAAGGAAAGAGAAAAAACATCACTTCCTCCTAAACTACAAACACGTCTGGCAGACTGCTTTGTGAGGGTTTGATCAGTTATGTGTAAGCAACAAATCAAACTGTGATTCAGAGGGAGAATCAGATCAGTGAGACTGATCCCACCCCCCACCCCGCCCCCAAAAATGGGATCAGTGAAATCTCGAGGGGAAACCTCAGCCTGACATCCAGCTAAAGAGATGTATGTTTTATGTGAAACAAGTGCTTGTGTCCACATGGTGTTATAACTTAAGTGCTGGGGTTTTTTCACAAAAAAGTTCACAAAGAGGAGAGGCCAGGTACAATTCCAGGAGGAGAGCATCCTTTTTTAGAGTGATCTGGCTGTTTTGAGTGGACAGTTTGAGTTCTTCTGAACTTTTTAGAAAGGAGCCACTGTCTCTCACCTCTCTTCTATTTTTGTGAATATTGAACCATGTGCAGCAGGTCTTGACACGATAAAGATTTGCAAAAGGCAGGAGAAGTTTGTTTGATCCATATTTGTCAAAACTGTACAATACGTCTGGAAATAACCGGCCTTTCTCTGTCTTCAGAGTTGCTTTGGCTCAGCATCCCTTTCTCTGTTGTGTGAGTGATTTTTTTTTAGATGTCAAGCATTCTGGGTTTGCCAAACTGATTTTATTCAATAAGAATACAATAAACAGAATATCAATTAGTTTAAACACACAGCCAGCCAGATTATGGCAACAGCAACCACTCTACGGTGACTCTCCAGGGACACATAGTTCAGAAAATGAAAACGTTTTGCAAACATGGGAGAATTTCAGTTTTGAGTAACCTCAGCTCAGATTTAGGTTCAGAAGGGAAGAATAATACAAAGCAAAAAGAAGATGAAACCAAATGTGGTGCATCATGAAAGGTTAGGGGCTGATATTAGCTAATAGGTTGTTGTTAATATGGTTCTCTCACTAACAAAATACACATTAAGTTTGTAGTTGCCATCACCACACAACTCCTGATCCTTACCAGGGCTCCTCCTAAAGTTCAGACATGCTTCTCTGACATAGAAATTTGTGAACAAAGGCCCTCAGTGGTTTAAAGGATCTGATTTTATGTCTCTGTCCTGTCTTTCAGATACCTGGTTGGACAGCGCCTGGTGAACTATGAGCGTAAGACAGGCAGGAGCACCTCCTCGTACAGCGCCTCTTCTTAGCCTCCACACTGCTGTGGGATGGGTGAAGCTGACTCACTCAGTTCAGCGTTCAGAGCTGTCATCAGCTCCTGTGGTGAAACCTTTTTGTTTCCTCTGTGTGCTAGCCGTTGACTACAAACAGAGCCTCTCAGCTTCAGCTGCAGTTTGGTCCTCTGACTCATAGACATCTGCTGCTGACACAGGTCAGGTGATAAAGATGTGAAGAGTGAAGACAGAAATCTCTCAAATCTGAACGCGGTTGTTCAACAGCCAGCAAAAACAGTCAGTATGACTCACTGATTGTCCATTCTGTTTCAAGGTCCTTTTTGTCTTCAATGCAGCTAACATTTTTAGTTTGAAATGGCTTTTCTTGTAGAAAGCTTTAAGCTGAAACATAGCTTGTACCTCAGATTGTGCTTCCCTTCCATGGTTTGTTGTCTAGGTCACACTAAGTCTCTGCTAATGAGATGTTTTTGACACTTTAGGGCTGTGAGGGAGACATCTCTGTTCTCATAAATCTTCCCAATTGACACCCTTGTCAAAAACAGGTTTTCTGTGATAAGAAGGGGCATATATGATGTAGCAACGTGATTGTAATGATGTATTTTTTAAAGATGATTTTATTGGATGTGTTTCTGTTGATTTTTAAGGTTTGAATCAGGAGTGGGTTGGTAGATAGTCCTATGAGCATTTCTTTAAGGTCAAAGTGTAGAGAAAAAAAAGACATTTCAGACATCAGGACACAATTTGAAACATGCTGTTTGTTTCCATATTCTCCTGTGAATTTTTAAAACAGTCATAGTTGTATGGCACCATCCTCAGCAAATCATCAGCAAGGCTTCAACTGATGACATTGAAACTGGAAAAGTAGCCTCAGAACAATCAGAGCATGCCTGTTACAAACTGAGACTGACCCTGGTGTGAAAAAATATGTCTGTTAAACTGGAATGCAATAAGCTAGTTGGCCTTTCTTGGCTTTAAGTGCTGCTCCTCAGCTGTTGACACTAATACAGTCAAGAGACACTGATTTTCACTGATGGGACAGTGGTCCACATAAAGTGGTGTGAATGACAGAGTCAAGTTCATTCAATGCAGCAAATGTACTGTAACGGGGTACAAACTGTCCATTTGTAAGAGTCACTCCAGTGGTTTCGATCTGTGTTATACTGTAACTGTTACTCCATTAAGTTAAACAGGGTCCTGAAATGGTGGGTTTTACATTTCAAACACATACATAGACAAACCCATTAAGTAATTTCTGTCGCTATCTTGCAAAGTCGCTACTACTGTGCTGCCTGCAGTAGTGACAACGGTGTGTATGGCTTGATCAAAAGCATTTAACATTTGATGAAATTTAAGTCATCATATCAGACATCAGGTTACATGGTGATCACACATTACAGTCTGATCACACATGGAGAAATGAACACAAGAAAAGACCACATCCACCAAATATTTGTCTTTAGAGTATAACAGTATTCTACTTTATACTAGTTATGTCTATCAGTTATCAGCAAATATGTCTTTTAATGGCCATTAAGCTCACTTTTCCCATTATGATTTTTTTTTTTTGCTTCCTTCAAGAGCACCATAATGCAGCGTCCTGGTTAGCTCTCCAGCTTGTCAAGAATTGTCATTTCATTTAGATATTTTTATAAACTACCTGGTGATCAATAGGTCACTCAGTAGGGAGCAAGATCACTCATAAATATAATCATCCTGATCCTCTTCTTGAGAATATCTTTGTCCTCTGCGGGGTCAGTAAATCTCTGTTAAGTTCTCACTCTTATTCAGGAGGATCCTTCTGTAAGTCTTCAACAAAGTTAACAAGTTAAGGTTTATCATGACTGACGGGGCAGCTGTGAGCTCCAAAGGTAGTTGCTGTTTCCTCGACATGATTGTTAAAATACACTTGCGTAGAAAGTGAAGGTAAAAGAAGAAACAAGATGACCTCTCACACTTCACTTCACCTTGACACATATCCTCATCTTTAGTGATGTACAAATAAGTTTATTCACTAAAATTCTTAAATTGGATGTCAGTCTATTTGTTCTGTTTCTGATGTGTATGTAGTTTAGTGTCTGAAAGTTAGGAGCAGCAGTGTGGTTTCTCTCTCTTGTAGATAAACTGATAGACTCTGTAGGTTCATATCTGTTCAGTCAATTTTTTTTCTAGCCTGAGTTAATGTGAGGAGGATTTAATGTGTGTATGAACGAGGGTGACTGGTTTCCTTTAAAGAAACTTTGGGAGCACATGATTACAATTTTTTGTGGGAATTAAGAAGAAACTGAATGAACCGTAATGATGGAGCTGCACAGGGGAGAAGAAGTTCACACTGTTGACTCAAGTTCTGGTTGGAGCCTTTCTGTGTGGTCTGCACACTCTCATGAATGCATGGGTTCACCTTTGAGTACTCAGATCTCTTCCTATAGTCCAAAGTCATGCCCATCAGATTTGTTGCCCATAGGTTTGAGTGTGCGAGTGTCTGGCTGACTGTCTCCTTATGTCAGCTCTGTGATAGAGTAGTGAACTGTCCAGGTGTTAGAGATTAGCCCCGGCATCCTGTAACTCTGAGAAGGACAAAAGGCATAGATGATGGATGGATGAACAAACCATAAGGATGTAATGACCACTTGTATCCACTATCCACAGTTGGCATTAATGTTGAGCCAAGTTTTCTTAGTCTCCCTTAAAATGTCTTTATGGTCAAACTGTTTTATCTCCCTCTGGCAGACTGGCACTCTGACTAAACTGCTGGATAAAAATGTAGTCTTAGATAAACTTTTCTTCACCTCCTTACAGCTTGTGCTCCACATTTAACTGAGGTCAGATATTGACACTGGAGGTTTGGTTTGTAAAATCAAGGGGGGGTCACAAGTGCCCACTAAATTGTTTGTGGTGGAGAGAGGAAAAAAAAAAAGCTCAATACAACATGGAAATAACATCTGAAATATTAGTTCCAAGTATGAGAATTCGACAGAGTTAAAATCACCAAGTGTTTGCTCACACATTCAGTTACTCTTCACTTAATATAAGATTCACAGGGAGAAAAAAAAGGCATGTAAAGGACCTTTTGAACTGGCATTGTCTGGTGTTAGAAGTATTTGTGTCTTTAAGGTTCAGAAAAAATCCTATCTCACCTGTTTGCTTATAGTGAAGCTAGATACTGTATATATACGGTTAACTTAGCTTAGAGGAGACAGCAATCTGCATCCGTTCAAATGTCACATATCCACTCACCATATTTTCTGCATCACTCCTTTTGTCTACTTTTGTATAACCTCAAAAAGTGATTTTAATACTTTGCATAAACCCACCTCTTATAATTCATTATAAACACATCTATAACACATCTATACAGCTTTTTAACAAAGTTTTAGAAGCCATCATGAGCAGCCATAAAAACTTACAGCAATGTTTATGTAGTGTTATGTGCAATTAGCATAATGACCGATAGAGATAAGATTTATAATGTGTTATGCCTTGCTGAGAATCAGAGTCTTTTGAATTCTGAGTTTCATGACACATTATAACTCCCACAACTTGATCAGTTATCAAGATTCAAAGACAAGTTATGAATTATTACAATCACTCAAAAGATTATTATAAAGCCTTACAAATACATCAAGGCTTTACAAATGTTCTTATAATGCATTTTATGTGTCGGGTTTATATTAAGTGTTACCAAAGTGATAATAGTAAAAGCCACAGCTTAGAGTTTCACATTTTCTTTTTATTTTTTTTTGCACCGGGGCTATTTCTTTGTCTCAGCAAACCCACCTTATCTGAAGTGTCATAGAAAATAATTGAATCCGATAAATCTGTGCGAGTCGCCATGTGTGTGTTTCTCAAAATGTCAAACCACTGCTGTCAAACTGTAAACATTTAATTTTGTTTTAAAGTACTGTCCACTATCACAGTTACTTTTTGTACAGGGATGTACAGTCACATGGTAGGTGTTTGTGTCACTTACACATCCACATTATTTTGCTTTTCTGTTTTAGTGAACAAGTCCTGTTGTTTTTCCATCATGCGCAAGCAAGGTTCAAGGCCCACTGAAAATAAAAAACATGTCCGTTAAAGCTCCTGTAAGGAACATTTGGTTTGGTTTGTATTTGGCGCCCCCTGTGGTCAAAGAAGTCTTGACTTTTCTTGCCCTCTACACACTTGATTAAAAAAAATCTCATCCTGCTGGATATTTTAGGTTGGAAGTGTATGAACTGCTTCACTAACACTAAAAATCCCAGTATAACAATCAGCAGTCTTGTTGCTGATGGTCTTGTTTGTGTTTGTTTGTCCTGAAAAGGTGTCAGTATGGGACAGGGTTAATTTCATAAATGTCAAAAATTTCATCACAGGAGCTTTGAATTGAAGATCTGGGATTAAACATGCCAAAAACACAAAGTTTGTAAGATCTAATTCACTTACAGAAATGACTCCTTACTAAAACTGTTCCCAGCTGCCAATGAACTCAATCTGTTTTCCGACCGCTGCTCCTTAAATCCTGAGAGATTTGTGTTTGATGTCCTTTGGACAATAATGGTCAAGTAGAAATGACATTTTTCATGTTTCAGTTGTTTGAACGTGTTGCACTTTATTTCACTGTTTGCAATCATTTCAAGAATCACACCAGGGTTTCTTGTGTTTTCCTTTCTCTCACACAGAGATTGTTAGACGTCAGTATTTTACTTTGGTGACTCCTCACAATGAGTTGAACTTAAAGATGAATTCACGCTTTGCATTTGTTTTTGACACTGTGTTTGTGTTCAATGTGTTTCATTAGAAGTTTGGTGAATTGAAACAGCTTTGTCATTGGTATGAATTGTGAACTACATTACCTTTTAGTGCTGCTGCTGTGTGGAATGCTCACATTGTATGGTTGAATCTATAAAGTGACCCTTTAGTGCATCTTGAACTGAGCTGGACATTTCAAATTTTGGTCAAGAATTTCAATTTGTAGAAGCAAATGATTTCTATTTTTATAAGTGCAAAAAAAAGCAGTGGCATGTGCTGTAACATAC